CCTTGCAAACCTCTACCCAGAAGGGTCACTACCTCGGCCCCTTTCCTCCCTTTCTTTTCTAATGAAAAGACCCGCCCCCGCCACCACACACAACACATAAGTCCATGAATGTTCCGACCAGCTGCTGCTCCATCCTTTCAGCCTGAACAGTAGGGAGATTATGAGGGCTAGCCCCAGGAGAGGAGGCTGAGGTGCCACTTGTGGTGCCCAGAGTGGGGGCCCAGCCTGGCCGTAGCCAGCCCTGCCGCCGTCAGAAGGAAGACCAAGTAAGAGTTATGAAAACTATGCCTCGCAAGGCGCCTGAAGGCATTTGCTTTTACACTTTGAAAACCAAAGATGCACGCTCCCCACCCTTGGAGCCCGAGTTGAGTTTATTGCTTGGAAGGAATCCCAGGGAAATGGGGGGTGGGGGCAGAGAGCCCCTCTAAATGCCCTGCCTCCTTACCTACGCCGCTTACAAAGCTTAGTCCCCTAGTCCAGATCCCCCCACACCCCCCCAATCTCGACCCATGCTGGGAAAATTGTCTCATGGCAAAGTGGCCTCAAAGCCAAACCAAACACTCTGAGTGTTCCCAGGCTCTGCAGACGGCTGGCACCAAGGGGCCAAGTCTGCTCTGAGCCGACAGGGCCCCTCGCATGGGGAAGGGCCCCTCGGCCTGCGGGGAGAGCAGAAGCCTTGTTCTAGCCTGCCCTGTGCTCCTTCACGACTTTGGGCCAGTCCTGTCCTCTAGGCCTCAGTTTCCCCATGTGTACATTGAAGGAGCAGGAATAACCCATGGATTTAAAAATGTTTTCTAGCAGCAGAAGCCAAAAGTGAGATCTTCCGCAGAAGCCCAAGGTATAAAGCACAGGGCTGGTGCCTGAGACAGAGTCAGCTGTCTGTCCCCTGAAGCCTCTCCACAGGGCTTTCTGGAGCGGAGTCTCAATCTCATCGTGAGAGGGTCTCTAAGAGCCATCCAGGGCTGGCCTCTGGGAGTCTTGGGGTGTAGCTTTCTTGGCAACACAAGGGGCTGCTGGGCTGTGTCCTCGGTGGCTTCCTGAGGAAGCTCTGAGGAGTCAAAGGGGAGATGGAGCCTGGAGCAGCAGAATCTAGGTGACGGGTGGCCCTGCTGCCTGGGGCTTGAGCTCTCGATTTGATCCTGCTGGAGGAGACCTTACTGCGGTTCCAGAGTGGGCCTCTCTGGGACAAGCATGTCAGATGCAGGCAGAGATTTGATGTGACAGATTTATGGGCAGCTCAGTGTCCTGGTATCTAAGGTCCATACCAGCCTCCACGCCTTTAGCCATGTGGTCTTCCCTGCTGGAAGCGCCTTCATTTCCCTCAGCCTCCAGGTCGCTTCCGACCTCCAGGGCCCTGGACCCTCCAGCCCTCGCTGACTGGATTTCTTTGCAGGCACAGGCAGACTGACCATGGATTCAGGGCTCTTTCAGCTGCACTATAGCAGGCAGATGTCCCTGCTCAGCCATGACCTGAGACTCTTCCTGCTCTGGTTCCCGACCACACTTACCACAGGGCTGAGCATGTGGTATGTGACTCCGGTTAAACATGGTGGTGGAATTTTGCAGTGCCCCCCCAGTGGCCCATTTAAGGCTGTGAGCCTAAGAGGTACTGAAGGCCTACGAGCAGCTCCTGATGTGGGGTAGGCATCTTATACCAAACTCTGAGTCAAAGGCTCATAGTCTGGCCACCAACACTGGAGACAACTGTTACTGAGTGTCACCAGTGGTCTGATGTCGGCTTACCACTGTACAAGCACCATCTCATTTACCCTCTAAGCCTCAAAGCAAGTATGAAGAGAGGCGGGGATTTGAATCCCATTTTGTCTGAATCTGTTTGTGCTTTTATTCACTGAAGGATCTTGCTTCCTGTTTCTCATGGGGCATCTTCTATCTCTAATCAGATGGATCCTGGCCTCCTGCAGAGATGCTGGCCACCCCGGACCAGAGAGAAGGCCTGGCTGCGCTAAGAGAGACCTTGGAGCTGGAGAATCTCAGGGCAGTAAGGGGTGGCTGGCAATAGGGGTGCAGAGCCAGCCCAGGAGTCCAGGGGCTGGAATTCTGAAGGGGTTCTGGTCACCTGTTCAAACTTCAGGGGAAACCGAGACCCAGAAGGCAATGACCCCCCATGTATGCGTGTCTTGCAGCCCTGTCCCTGAGCGGGGGCATCTACAAGGCTCTGCGTCCATCAGGTACCGATGCCCCACTCTGTGCCTTGCTTCCGGCCTTGCCCAGCTCTTCCCTGCACCTGCCTTGTCAGGACTGTCCTTCTAATCCTGGTGGCCTAGGATTCTGTTCCCTTGTTTATCCAATCCTCGCCCCCAACCCCATCTGTGGACTCGGAGAACAACAAAGCTGGCACGACCTTCAGAGACCAGTCAAGGCCCCAACTACACAAAAGGAGAAACTGAGGATTGTCATAGGTCCTACCTCATTGGGGGTGGTATCCTGCACATGGTCAGTATGAGAATGGTCTGTGCCCTGCTGCCCCCTCCTGGCTCTCAGATGTGAGGGTTCCTGGGAGTACTCTGCTGCCACTGTGCAGCCATCTGTGGACACAGGCTTGGCACTTGCCATGGGTCCCCATAAATCATCCTGCCACGGGCTGCTGCTTCTCTAAACTTCCTCCCGTGTGTTTATACCTCGGGTAATGAGGGGCGAGGGAAGGCCAGCCTGCTCCAGGCGGTGTCCTGGCCAGGCACTTGCAGCCTCCACCCCGGCTCTCTCCCTCCTTCTCTCTCTCAACAAACCCTCAGCAGGGCCTCCAGGGATCTGCAGAAGTCCAACCCAGATCTGGTCCCCAGGGACTTCTACTCTAGAAACATAAGCGAGAAATTGTAGTCTGTGTGACTGTGCCAGGACAGGACACCCACAGGTGTCTGCAGGGGAGGGGAGAGCAGGGAAATGCAGGAATACAGGGAAAGGGAGAGCAGGGAAAGCTGTGGCAAGAAGGGAGACCTCAGCGGGGTGAGGATGAAGAAGATGCTTCCTGGGCGAGGGTGGCAGGGGCGCTTGAGTGGTGGGTGGGCAATCGTGACCCTTCGCACTAGACAGCAGACCTGCCTGTGGGTTCTGATGCCACACTTGACTTGCTGCGTGGTCTTAGCCAAGTTTCCTGACCTCCCTGAGCCTCAGTTTCCTCATTTGTTAAAACGAGGCCTATTTCCAGGACTCCTGTTAGGACTGGCGACATGGTGGCACAGAGCAGGAGCTCAACAAATTTCCACCAGGACCCACCCCAGCAGAGAGAGAGGCAAGTACAAGGGTGGACTTGGCACAAAGCCTGGCAAGGATGGGGTCCAAAGCATCCCAGGGTGGGAAAAGCAGTGAGTGAGGAGGGAAAGGAAGCAACAGCCGCTGCACTGGGGCAGAGCTGCAGGAAGTTAACCGGGTGGTTGTGGGGAGACACAGAGAATCTCGAGCTGAGGAGAGATGGCGTGCTAGAGCCAGGGGTCCTGTTAGGGCCCTGCTGCAGGATCCCAGGTGGAAGATGAGCTGGGGAGAGGGGATGGAGAGAAAGGGGTAACTCCAGTGGGATTTAGGGGGAAGAAAATGAGAAAACTTTGAATGAAATTAAAGCACCAAGAAAAATAGTTTGGTTCGCAGGGCTACAAATGGGCCCCAGGGTCCCTCCAGAAAGAACTGGAAACTTGGGAACCCGAAGAGGATGGGGTGAGACCTGGGAGTGACAGAAGCTGTGCCCTGCACCCAGGCCTTTCACGGTGCTCAGGGCATGCTTCCTTAGGAAGCGGTGGCGAAACTTTTTAACAAATAGTCTGCCTGTTGGTGGAAACTTCCTTCGCCAACCCAACCAGAGGGGAGAGTTATCCAACCACAATTTACCTGTTGGGACCAAGAAGGGCTCCTTCTTGCCAAAGAAAAGCTGTTTTCTTCTCCTGAAACCAGGCTCTGTGTTTCAGAGCTATGTGTTGCAAAAAGGAAACTGTTTTGGAGTCATTTGCCCCAATTTACCTTTCAGACCATGCTTAGGGGCTGGGGGTCTGTAGTTGGAGCTGACAGCCCAGACTCCTGTCACCCTGTGGGCTGGACCCACCCCTGGCCAGTTCTCTTGGCAGTCAGGTGGGTTGATGAGGGCCCTGAGCAACCCCTCTGATCAGAGCAGTTCATGGGCTGCCAGCCCCTCCCGGGCAGCCTGTAGGCGCCCCCCAGGGCTGAAGGAAGCGGCTCAGTAACTCTATGCCCTAGCTCCAGGTTTGAAGGGGGCGGCCCATGCTGGGCACAGGAGCCAAATGTGTCCCAGCCAATACAGCTGCGGCAGTGCCTCCACTTGGGGCAGGTTGGGCTGGCAAGGGCTCTACAGAAGTACATTTATCAGGAACCCAAGTCAGGTGCTATGAGCCAACACAGCCAAAGGAGCAATGGACTCAACTCTTACTTCCTGGAAGTCTTTTTAAGATGATGCACATCCCGCACTTTAAGAGAGTGGAATGGACTACGCCAACTTTTTGTCGATGACGCAGAGACCTAGCTATAGGAAGATCATGCAGTGACAAGCACAGGAGGCAGCCCCTGATTCCTGCGTGACCCTGGACAAAACCCCTTGCCCCAGGCCTTGGTTCAACATCTATAAATGCAGAGTCGGGCCTGTGTTTCCCAAAGCTGCTCAGAAGACTCTCCAGCATACATGTAACATGTGGCTCCCCAGGCCCCACCGCAGATCTTGTGAATCGACACCTGCAGGGGCCTGGGAATTTATTTAACAAGTGCCCAAAGCGATTCTTTCTGGGGATGCTGAGGAAATCCTAGATGATCATCTTTAGGGTCCAGATGGAGACCTCGAGTCTCCAAGGATCCACTGCTGGGTGTGATGTCCACGGCTGGGCTCCCGCAGTGGGTAGGACTCTGCTCTTCACTGATGGTCACTCTCTGGGACATCCTAGGTGCTCCGGTGATGCTGTTCACCAAATACGGAGATTCTTGCTAACAAGCGGAATCTAGAGAAATCGCTTTGTACTAAGACTGCAGGCAGAGACTGGAAGATGGCATTCAAGTTACAGTACGGGCTTTGGAGGGGTGATGCAGGGTGGTGGGAGGGGCACACAAACGGAGGTACCAGTACAGTGGGATGATTTCTGTACCTGTCCATTTTCAACAAGGTATATCATGAATTCTCGTCCCCCGCTGAGACCGAGCCCACAGCATTAGGGTATCGGGCGTCACCTGCCATCTCTCTCTTGAATAGCGGGATCCCCTTTGCAGCCTTCCTGCCGGGGTGTTGGCCACTCAGACCTTCCAGGCACAAGGAGCTCACAGCCTTCTGATATAGCCAGCCTGGTCCATTTTCTCCTGTTCTTACCTTCTGGCTCATGGGACAAATGAAGCTTGCTTTGCATACCAGGTGCATCCCAGGAAACTAAGGGCAAAGCAGACTTCTGTCCTCTGCATCTGAAGGAAGCTTCTATCTCCTCACCTTTGAAATGGAGAAGACCGTACCTACTCTCATTTGGAGCATAAAGAAGAAGAGTCAGGTGTGAGTGTGCTCTATAAACCCTAAAGGATGAACAGGAAGATCCTCTGAATGGGAACAAGCCAGGCCTGAGGTTTCTGCTGGGGCACCATCTGCCACACTCACACTTCCTCCTGAGGGAGGCTGCCTGGAAATGATGCCCAGCTCCCAGCAGACCTGCCCTTCAGCAGCTCACCTGTCCTCGATGCGGACCCAGAGGTCGTTGAACTGCCGTGGCCGCTGGTGTTTGTTCTGCCTCTTGTGCCACTTCTTCTGCCGCCCAAACTCCTCCAGCTGGCTGAGGCTGTCAGGGAGCAGGAGGTGTGGGGACAAAGCTGGGTCCTCCTCTTCCGGCGGGGCAGTGGGGGTCACCGAGGGTGCTGCGGGGATGGCCGCAGCTGGGGTCACTGGGGCTGGGCTCGCTGAAGTCCCCTCGGGTGGGGGCGCAGGGCTCCGTGAGGCAAGGCTGGAGAGGGAAATAGCACATGACATGTTGGAGTGCATCATACACATGTGACAGGAGATGCAATTCAGTGGGAAAGTTGTCATGGCCGAAGATGCTAGGGTGTCCCTGTTGGGCCTGGAGAGAATGACCCAGGAAAACCGTTGTCTAGCGTGGACAGAGGAAGATTTGACTCGTTCTTTCATTTATTGATTCAATAAATATTGAGCATCTATCTTGTACCAGACACTTTTCTAGGCATGGGGCAAAAGCAGTGACCAGAACAAAGTCCCCGTGCTCTTAGAGCTCACATTCTGAAGCGGAAGATGGAGAGTAAGATATAACAGGATGTCTGAAGGTGATGACTACTGGGGAGACAAATAAAGCAGAGACAGGAGAGAGAGAGAGTGGGGGTGGGGTGCTGGGCAGGGAAGGCGGTCTGGTCACTGCCAGGCGACATTTGAGCCCAGACTAGTAAGAAGTAAGAAAGTGAGCCATGGGTAGGTCTTTAGTTGTGGTTCTCATTCATTTAATAAGCTCTGGCTGAGGGAATTTGGGTGAGTTACCTAACTTTGCTATGCCTCAGTCTCCTGCTTCATAAAATGGGGACCTCATAGGGGCATCGCGAGGGTTATGTAGGTTAACAGAGGCGAAGCACTTAGAACAGTGCTTGGCAAATAGCAAACAGCTGAAACATTTTAGTAATTAATATTATTGATAAATAGCATTAAATATTAACATTGTTGCTTGTGTCATTCGTACAACCGTCTATTCATGCCTTCAACACATATTTACTGAGCACCTTTTCAGGGAGGCAGGACAGCACCAAGCAGATAAGAGCTTGAGCTAGAGGCAGACATGGGTATATATCCTGGTTCTGTAACTTACAGGCTATGTGACAAAGGACAGTGATGAAATCGTCTCAAGCAGCAGATAGCTGTAAAATAGGACTAGAAATGGTAATTACTTCATAGGGTTGTCATGAGGTTAGATGAGATGCCTGGCACATAACAAGCCTCTCTGTAACACTGGCCAACAAGCAAATGGACCTGGCGTAGCGAGAGCTTAAGCATCTATCAGGTGTGTGTGTGGGTGTGGAATTTACATTCTATACAGAGGTGTATGCAGACATCCCTTAGCTTGGAAACATCCTCTGCTCTTTTCTCTTTTATTCTCTCCTCTCTGTGGCCCAAATGGCACTCCTTTTGGGGCCATCCATCCCTGGGAGAAGGGTGGCCATGATGTCAGGAACTGCAAAGGTAAAGCAGCACCCGAGGAAGCGAGCAGCCTGTCCCTTCACTCCACTCCACTCCTTCATGCATGATGGGCGAGGGGCTTGTCTCTCCTTGAAGGAGAGACGGCCATCAGCTCAGCCTGTCTGCTCCCAGCCCCCATGGCAACCCCAGATTCCCAGGGTCCAGGAGATGTCGCAGCTGCTGGGGAGATAATTCAAAACAGGCAGACAAAAAGATGGATCCAGGAAGCACCTGTGGCCGATGATGACTTTTATTGTTGGGGCTTCCTCGGCATCCCCGCTCCTTCACCCAGCCGCGGGATTTCTGCCTGCACTCGGAGACTCAGGCTGAGAGCCCTGGGAGCAGGGCCTGGAGGGGAGAAGTGGGGGGACCCTCCTCCAAAGCCTGGGCTCTAGATGAATAGGAGCCGAGGCGGCCTCTTTGGCCTGCCTCCCCCACCCCCCGCCCCTGCCCTGGACAGACTCGATGAGCTTCAAGGTGAAGGTCCTTCGGGGCTGTGAAGAGGAGCTTGAGGGATGCCTTGTCCCCAAGGCTACCTTACCTTGTGTTCCTTAACCCTCAAACCCATGCCTGTCCAGGTCCAGTACAATCTGACTTATAATGCGCTCAAAGGTTCAGAAAGAGCAGTATTGTCCGGTTGGCTCAGAGATGAAAAACTGGAGGAGACCAGTGTGAGGGAGTTACAAGTTCCTCTGGCAGTGCCATGGAGACGGAGGGAACAATGACTCTGAGCGAGGAGACCAGAGGCTCAATGCCCTGGGTGACCCAGGCCTCATCTCTGCAGAGTGAAGAGCAAGCCTCAGCCATTTCTAAGCAGTCTCACCCAGAGGGGATACGGGGAGTGGTTAGAAGCTAGACTGCCATTTACGTGAGCTGTGTGTCCTTCTGCAAGTGACTTCACCTCTCTGGGCTTCAGGTGCCTCAATTTTTAATGAGGGTACTCATAGCTCCTACCTCACAGGGTTATCATGAGGATTCATGAGTTAAAAGCACTTAGAGATGGGTACACAGTGAGCAGTCAACATGTATAAGCTGTGATTATTCAAGCTTCTTTTGGACTCTGGGTCTTAAAACTTCAGGGACAGGGTCCCAAGAGATCACACTGTGGTTACCATTGTGGGCTGGTAAGGAAGGTTCCTGCATAAAGATTGGATGGACTGTGGGACACAGGGAACCCTGAGTTTAAGGATCCCGTGATTGACCCCCAGAGTTGTCCAGCATGCAGACACCTCTGCTGTGGTAGGTCTGGTGTTGGTGCTGAGGGCCGCAGAAGGACCTGGCTGACCCCTGTCCTCGGCCAGCTTCTGGCCTGGTGGAGGGACAGGAAATCCGCACAGGATGAGAGATGGCCACTATATGGCTCTTTGAGAGGACTGTATGCCCTGGTAGGAGAGCCAGGGGTGGGGGCACAGCCAAGAGGCAGCAATGGGGAAGGTGCGCCTAGAGGAAGTTGAGGACCAGGTGTAGGTGGAGCTGGGACACAGAAAGAGGCCAGACTACTGCTCGTCCTGACCACGGCCCCATCCTGATTCAGGGTGCCAGCATCCCCCACGTCCTCTAGGCAGCCACCCAGGAGTCCTATAGAGTCTTTCTACCTGATCCGATCACGTTTTTAAATCCTGAACATCTCTCAAAACTTAACTCGCCTCCCAATCCCGCCACCACTGCCCAGCTTACTGCCCTTGCCTCTTGCCAAGACTGCACACCAGCCTCCTTCACCACTTCCAGCCTAGTCCCTCCGCTCTTGGGCGTCTGGTCAAGGCCAGGCCCTATGAGGCCCCATCTCACCACAGGCTTCTTCACAGCTTTCCTTGCAGACCTGAACAGGAAGGTAGGGTGCAGCCCGGGCATGCAGTTAGCCCGGGCATGCAGCCTGTGGACCGGCAGTAGCAGGCCAGCCAGTCCCATGTCCACAGATGTCTGGGCAGCTTACCTGTGGATGGTCTGCCCTGCAGGCGTGTGTTCCACCTCCAGCCCTGCCTGCCGAAGGACATCAATGACTGTATTGTTCCCCAGAAAGTGACCTGGAACATAAAAGACAAAGTGGTCTTAGCCACATGTCAGGACACCAGCAATTGGAAACAGCCTTAGGCCAACGACCTACACCAAAGCTGAGGCCCCAGACTCCCTGAGAGGCAGTATGACATAGAGGTAAGATGTCCTGGGGCCATCCTGCCTGGGTCCACATCCTGGCTCTGCTCCTTACTGGTTGTATCTTCCCGTGCCTCAGTTTCCCCATCCGTAAAGTGGGAATAACTGAGAGTGTAACAGCCAACCTCAGGGTGGCTATGAGGACTACAGGAACAGTGGCTGGCACACGGCGAAGGCTCAGTGTTTCCTGTGGCATCGCTGTGCCTCATACCATGAAGGTGGTCCCAGCCCTGGACTGGTCAGGAGGGGACAGCCTTCCGCACTCCAGTAGTGGGGGGGTCCGTTTGCGATGTACTTGCTCTGTGGCCAACCCTATGCTAGACACTAAGAATACAGGTATAAATCATTTAATCGCAGCCCCAGGTAAGAGCAGGGACTGCTCTCCTTTGGCACGATGCAGCCTTGAGGTCTGAGAACACAGTGAAGGCCCCCAGTTAGGAAGGTTAGAAAGCGTCCTCGGGAGGCCACTGTGGAGACAGTAACTGCTGGCAATCAGTACTCTGGTGAGCCCCGACCTGGGCAGTGTGGGCAGAGTGGCAGTGGCCCCTGGTGAACTCTTCACCCATGTGCCTGCCCTGTGGCCCGCTCCCACGGGCAGCTCCCTTCTGCAGAACCTGGGGGAAATCCCTGCACTGTTACTCTAATTGCCTGTGACGGGTGGTGACAGGTGGGAAGCTGGAAGGTCAGGATGTTGACAGCCCCAGGGAGGTCTGAGAATAGAGAGTGGACAGGCTATTGGGGAACACAGAGGCTCCAGGACAGAGGAAGCCAGGCTAGGACTGCACAGTGGTTGGAACAGAGGGTGAAGCCCGCAGCCCTCTACCGGCCACCACTGCACACCCCAGGCTGGTTTCAGCACCCCTTAGCAAGTCCCCTGTCCAGCAGTCTTTCTTTTGCCAGCTTGCCACAGTCCCTGAAATCCATCTCTGGATCACTGCATGAGATCACCGGACTGGGAACGCGAGATGGGTTCTAGTCCAGGATCCAGCGCACTTACTCTGACCTCGAGCAAACCTTTGACGCTTAAATGCCCTGTTTCTCTCTGTGTACAAGGGAGGAAGTGGGCTGCATGATACCTACAGGCTCCCCTAGCTCTCAGATTCTGTGCAGAAGGCTTTATTTGATTCTAGAGACCCTTATGAAAATGTGTTCTCCCTCCTTCTCTCTCTCTCTCTCACTTTTTCCACCTATCCATTTCATTCATCTGACAAACACAAAGTGAGTGCATACCTAGTGCTGCAGACTGGTGAACAGGTAGGGGCCTGTTCCAGGCACTCACAGTCTCAAGAATCAGGATTCTTTGATCCAGACACTGATGCTGATGGAAGCACACAGGAGGCTTCTAATTCAACCTGATCAGGGTAGACTTCCTGGAGGAGGCATTGTTAGCTAAAGGACGGGATAAGAATTGGCTAGGTGAGGATGGGTGGCCCCAAAGGGAGAGAGTTCCAGGTAGGTGGAATGGCATATGCACAGACTAGGAGGTAAGAGAGGCATTTCTGAGAAGTAAGGCACAGAAGACACCTGGGCCCTCCCAGGCTCCGGCCCTGACCGAAGCGCTATTGAGAGAGGACAGAAAACCCCGGTTCCTGCCAAGGGTGTGAATCTCCAGCGTGTGATCCTGAGCAAGCAGCCTCTCTGCCCCCAGCCTCAATTTTCCTGTGTGTCACATGGCTTGCTTCCCTTTGGCCCACAACTTGGGCAGCTGTAAAGCCCTAATGAGGCAGGAGTGAATGTCCTTTGGAAAAGCCCAGCATGCACTCTCCAATGGGCTAAGCCAGTCCTTGGCTGGGGCCACAGAGTCATCCTCACTCTTGCTTGCCTCTGAGCAAGACTGGGCTGGAAGGGGGACCGGGTGTGGCAGCCTCCAGTGCACAAGCTGCAGGAACTGCTTGCCAGCAGCTCTTGGAATCCATTCCTGGCAGTAAAGCCAATTTTTTCCCCGCCTCCATGGAGACCCATTAAAAGACGAGGGCTTCTAGGCCCAACAGTGGTCGGCCCAGAGGATTTCAAGAGCCGCCAGGGAAAATGGCCTGCCTCAGGCTGCACAGGAGCAGCAGTGAATATTTACTGAAGGCCTTGTGGCTGCTCCAAAAGAAGCATTCCTGGGGCTGGCGCAGGGGGCATTTGGAGAAGCCAGGCCTTACAGGATGCTGGCTGGATTCTGAGTACTTCCTGACAATGTTTCAGTGTCCAGTCAGGGCTCTGTCCATTCGCTCCACCTCAGCGATTCCAGGCCCTCATTGTGCAGCTTAAGACCCTAAGTAGAAGACTAGATACTTTGAGAAGTTGGAAGCGATCAGGAAAGATTTTTAAAATTTCCATCCTTCCTTCTCTAAGCCACACCCACCCTCACCTCCTTCCCTCCAAAGCAGGGAGAAGTACCCCTTCCGTCCTTCCCCTGCACGAGGCGCCCGTCTCACGCAGGCCCTGCCCAGGACTGTACAGTGCAAGCCATTCACTCCTGAGCCCGTGTTCCCATCATCTCCGACCCTGACCCCGTCTTTGGGGCTTTGTTTCATAGGTCGTCACGACACTATTCTGTTCTAGTTCATCCTCCTCTCACTGCTCCCTGTCCGTTCTCTTGGTGGGGTCCTCGTTCTCCTGCCCAATAAATGTGGGGACCCCTGGGAACCCTGTCTGTGGCCTTCTTTTCTTTTCTGATCACACTCTGTGGGCAAAAATCATCCACCTATGTGCTTTTGATTAGCATGCGATGCTGACCGTCTGGAACTGCTGCCCAAGCCCAGACATATTTGCCTAACTGCTTACTGGACATCTCATAAAATCCTCCCGAGCCTACAAAATCCAACTCAGCCTCCCTCCTGAGATGCACCTCAACTGAGCTCTGTTTACCGAGTCAGATGGACCCTGTCTTGACTTTGCCTTCTTCCTCCTCACCCTCGTCCAGTCAGAGTCCTCCTGATTTCACCTCCTAATCATGCTTGACTCTGGCCCAGGTCACCATCACCTTCTGCCGGAATCACTGCAGACACTGTCCTCCTTGTCCTCGCCAGTTCGCCCTCCTCACTGCAGCCGGAATGATCTTCCCACACCCGCGAGCTGCCTCTGTCAGAGTGTGTCCCCGACAGGCCGCTTGAGGGAAGATATGAGCTTTTTGAGGACAGGGGCCATGCCTGATTCGTCTAGGATGCAGGGCTAAGCCCGCCTCTGGTGGTGGTTTCATGATGGTTTGTTGAGTGAATGAGCGATAAAACCTGTGTACTCCACATCCTTTCCATGATCTCATCCTATCCCCGCGAGACCTGAGCTCATGGATCCCCTCCCCGTGTAGCCTCAGCCTGGTCCCTTGGTGATGCTCCTGCAGATTCCGCCGACCCCAGGAGCTTGGCTTTTGAACCTGCTCCTGAGTCAGGGCCCAGTGCATGCTGTCCCCTGGGGCTGGCAGACAGGGCTTAGGCTTGCCTCCAAGATCAGAAATCCTGAAGCAGGCACCACGCCCATCCTGGAACCTGCAAGAAGGTGTGGAAAGTTTCCAAAGGGGCCCCACAGTGTTGGGGCTTAGCCTGCGTGGCTTGCCCAGGCTCCCAGGGTCTCCTGGCCACCGATCAGCAGCTCCTTCCAGCACTGACAGCTGTGCTCTGGCCAGCTCTCTGCAGGAAGGCACGTTCCATTTCATCTGCTGAGGCCGTGTGGACGAGGAGAGGAGGAAAGGAAGGGAGGACAAGTGGGAGGCGGGGCACACAGAGCCACAGAGACAACGAATAGGGGAGACATACAGAGAGGCAAGGAGAGGAGAGAGATACTCACAAGGAGGGACAAGGAGAGGAAGAGAGCTTCGGAACACAAGGAAACAGAGGAGGAAGGCAGAGGAGAGCAGGGCCTGGACTCGGGTAATAAGAGACATACGGAGACTTGGAGACAATGGTAGGGAGAGAAGGAAACGGAGAGACATCGAGACAAAGAGAGAAAGAGATAGAAAGAGACAAGGATGAGGCAAGAGACACAAACAGGCAGAGACATAGAGAAAAGGAGAGAAACGGTGAAAGAGGAGAGAGGATAAAGAGAACCCCGAAGTGGAAACAAGAAGCATGGAGGAGGAGACACTAATCCAATGAGGACATCAGGAAAGGCTTCCTGGAGGAGGGGGCCATGTAGCCATGACTCCCAGGATGGGCGGGATTCAGGCAGAGATGCCGGGGAGACAAGAAAGGGGAGGAAGATTATAGGTCTTGAGACTGATGGGGCTGGCATGGTGTTGCCTCCCTTAATCCTGCAAGCCAGAATGTCATTAAAGGGCATTCATATACAAACAGGGAAGGTGTCCTGCTCCGAGTGGGCACTGTCCCATGATGTTTTAGTGCAGAAAAAAGGGCTCCCCTTCTTTTGGGCCCAACTGGGCCTGTATCAAGGCGTAAGGCTCAGGGAACAGAGTGCAGGCTGGTCATAGCCCCTACCCATCATCTGGGCAGAGGCCAACAGCTGCAATTTACCCTCTGACACGGGAAAGGCAGGGTAAAATAGAGAGAAGAAGCCTATCCTGAGGTTAGAACAGAAAACCTGGCTCGATAGCAACCTGACTGAGACCTTGGGAAGCTTCCTTGTCTGCTGCGTGTCTCAGTTTCTCCACATGGTCCAGATTCCATCATGGGATGATCTAGACACAAACTCCTACTTAGTGAGTGAGCCTCCTGGGTACGTGAGGCTTCTCTGCTGTAGTTTCATTTCATCCTCACAGCAGCCTTTGAGGTCTCCCAGTTTACAGATGAGGAAACTGGAGCTCATTGAGGGGCCGGGACTTGCCCAGCTCATATGGGTGGAAAGAGGCAAAGCTTGGACTTGGACTTCCTTCCAGAGATGTCCTTGCTCACTGCACGTTCCCACACACCCACTCTGAAGTACTGGCGGCTAC